TAGGATGGGACTGTCTCTTTTTTAAATTGTATTTTGTACAGGATATACCTGGCACATATATTGGTTCAAATACATACTTGTCAAATGATTATAATACTGAATTGTTTATCTTTTTGGTAGGGATTTTCCTTTCTTAATCGATACCTCAGTATACGTGGACCTTGCCAGGAGTCATTCTACAATTTGGGCCGTGGCCTTCACCAACTGGGGCTGATTCATCTTGCAATCCACTATTATCAGAAGGCCCTGGAACTCCCTCCACTTGTGGTAGAGGTATTGTATGATTTACTTTTGCTTTTTTTAAAAAAAGATTTTATTTATTTATTAGAGAGAGCTCGCGAGCAGGGATAGGGACAAAGGGAGAGGGAGGGAGAGAATCTCAAGCAGACTTCATGCTGAGCACAGAGTCTGATGTGAAGCTTGATCTCATAACCCTGAGATCAATGACCTGAGCCAAAATCAAGAGTCGGTGCTTAACCAACTGAGCCACCCAGGCGTCCCTGTATGATTTACTTTAAAAACTGATGAGTCACTTCATTTCATCTATAGATAAGTGCAGTTAGCTCATGTTGTAGCCCAGACAGTGAAATAAATTATGTATTAGAATGTATTTTTTCTTTATTGAATGCATTTATGTAATTGTGTTCAGCAACAAGTAGATCTTTGTCATTCTGGCCTTGTGACCTGATCAGCAACCATGTGGACATACACAACTTATGGTTATGACCATTTTTTTTTTTTAAAGATTTATTTATTTTGAGAGAGTGAGAATGAGAGAGAGTACATGAGAGGGGGGAGGGTTAGAGGGAGAAGCAGGCTCCTTGCTGAGCAGAGAGCCTGATGCGGGACTTGATCCCGGGACTCCAGGATCATGACCTGAGCCGAAAGCAGTCGCTTAACCGACTGAGCCACCCAGGCGCCCGGTTATGAACATTTCAGTTACCTTAAGGTAGCCCCCCTGGTTTACAGGAATGAGCTGGTAGACACAAAGCCTGAGTATTGAGTAATATAGCCATTGTTCATTTTCAAGTTCAAGTGTAATGAACGTATTTCTTTAAAAAGATGAAAGACCAGTATAAATGTAGTTTTGTTTAAGATAATGTAATACAGGGTAAAGTGTTGCTAGTACTATGATAATCTATGTTTAAAGTCTCATTCTTGGCTAACAGAGACATGAAAAAATGTTCAACATCATTAGCCATCAGGGAAATTCAAATCAAAACCACATTGAGATACCACCTTACACCAGTTAGAATGGCAAAAATTAACAAGGTAGGAAACAACAAATGTTGGAGACGATGTGGAGAAAGGGGAACCCTCTTACACTGTTGGTGGGAATGTAAGTTGGTGCAGCCACTTTGGAAAATAGTATGGAGATTCCTCAAAAAGTTAAAAATAGAGCTACCCTATGACCCAGCAATTGCACTCCTGGGTATTTACCCCAAAGACACAGATGTAGTGAAAAGAAGGTCCATATGCACCCCAATGTTCATAGCAGTAATGTCCACAATAGCCAAACTGGAAGGAGCCGAGATGCCCTTCAACAGATGAATGGATAAAGCAGATGTGATCCATATATACAATGGAATATTACTCAGCCATCAGAAAGGATGGATACCCACCATTTACATCAACATGGATGGAACTGGAGGGGATTATGCTAAGTGAAATAAGTCCAGCAGAGAAAGTCAATTATCATATGGTTTCACTTATCTGTGGAACATAAGGAAGAGCATGGAGGACATTAGGTGTTGGGGTTAATGTAAAGCATGAAATCAGCCATAATACCTGGCTTGCTAAAATGTAACAGAGCCTGCTGGAGGCGAGGGAAGGTTTTGGAGAAGGGTGTAGGCCTTTGGAATGCTGAGGCCTGTGTGACCACTCTGCCGCTGGAATGCCGTGGGGATGCTGGCCATTCCCGGCAATTAGGAGAAGAAAGGGAAAAATGAAGGGGAAATCAGAGGGGGAGATGAACCATGAGAGACTATGGACTCCAGGAAACAAACTGAGTGTTTCAGAGGGGAGGGGGGTGGGGGGATGGGCTAGCCCGGTGATGGGTATTAAGGAGGGCATGTATTGCAAGGAGCACTGTATGGTGACTAACATAATATAATAAAAAATTAAAAAATAAAGTCTCATTTTAAATTTCTGGAGAAAAATATTGTTTTCATTGTTAATTTTTTTAAGTTGCACTCATAATTCTTATATGCCCTCACAACTGTTTTGTATTACTCTTGTTCAATGTTGGTCATTAAACAAATGAATACGTACTTTTACAGTTAGGCTGATGAAATATATACACTTTTGCATTCTTTATTTCATAAATACCTTTAGGTATTGGGGTGCTTGGGTGGCTCAGTCGTTAAGCATCTGCCTTCGGCTTGAGTCATGGTCCGAGGGTCCTGGGATCAAGCCCCACATGGGGCTCCCTGCTTGGCGGGAAGCCTGCTTCTCCCTCTCCCACTCCCCTGCTTGTGTTCCCTCTCTCACTGTGTCTCTCTCTGTCAAATAAATAAAATCTTTAAAAAAAAAATACCTCTAGGTATTGCTCCTTAAGCTTTATAGGTATCATTTTTCATTGTTGCAGATATTTTTATAGTTGACTCCAAAATTTTTTACTGGGGAAGATTTAGAAACATAGATCTAACCTACTCTATTGAGTTCATTACTTTGCTATTTAAGTAGGAAAAGGCTGTAATAACACCCCTGGGGTAATATTATTATTAAATTGGTGTATGTCTTCTTACGCCTTTCTGCTATATAGTATAGGTATTTTTTTCCCATCTGGTCATTTGTGGTATAATTTTTCTTTTTTAGATGCATAAGTTTTACATTTTTCTAATGAAATCGTATCTATTGACCTTTTCCTTTATAGTTTCTATTTTTGCTATTATACTTGGAAGGGCCTTTCCTACCCAAGATTATATTATTCAACTATGATTTTTTTCTTTTATGGTTTCATTTTCTTAATCTTAAATTCTTCATCTGGAGTTTATTCTGCTATTGCTTCTGGGTGAGACTTTTTTCTTTAACTTATTGGTTAGACATTTTAAATTATTTAATGATATAGTTATTACAGTGATTAACTGAATCAGCATTACCTAATAAAATTTAGATCCAAGGTATATGCCTAGTTTTATACTTTTTTTTAGTATCATGAATTTTAATATTTGAATACTTATACTTATGAAACTATTATTTGCCATAAAATTGTCCTGGTTGTCAGTTTGAAATATAAAACTCATTCATGTATTTTTCCTCCTAGGGTATAGAAGTTGACCAGTTAGACTTGCGAAGAGATATTGCCTACAACTTGTCTCTCATTTATCAGAGCAGTGGGAATATTGGAATGGCTCAAAAGCTTTTGTATACCTATTGCTGTATATAAAGTACCTCAACTGAGAAAGAAGCATTGGTGCTCTGTGTGTGGACCAGTATTTTCTGTCTAAGGGCTTACTTAGTATTAACCCCAAACCGGAAATGACAATTTCAGAATTATCTGTGTATTTAATTTTTAGTATATGATAATCTTTTGATATGCAAAATTATCATTCCTATAAGAATTTGTATATTCTTCTGTCATTTTCTTTTAGTATTTTTTAGTAAAATTGTCCCCGAAGGTGAAATGGAGAATGTTAGCCTTTAAGCCAGCTTGGGGTTAAATATGCTATTTTTTTACTCATACCATTTATTCATCTGTGCATTCAGTACTAAACACCTGTGTACCAGGCCCTGTGATGGGTGCTTGAAATACAGTAGTAGGGCAGAAGTGACCTCTCAATACAGTTCTTTTTTTTTTTTTCAATACGGTTCTTTAAATACACAACTTGAGTATATATTAATTTGAAAGAGATGTTTCTGCATTTTCTACCTACAATATCATGTTGAGTCATCCACTTATTTGTGCTTTGTTGCTATTGCACAGGCAGTTTCACAACTATATAGAAAGGAAAGACCAAACCAATTGGGACGCTTTCTCATAGCAACACAATTATGTAATTCGCTTGGCTCCTAAGAAAATTATTTGAAATGGTTATGTGGTAGGAAGACACCTAATTGAGTTAATCTTTTACTTTTCACCTGCATGTATCTTCGTTGTACAGATTGAGACCTGGGAGGCTGGCATAATTCAAAACATCCTGTTCTGAGGCAGATAAAAAAAATGCATTACCAATGTTGGTGGCTTTCTGACAAAAAAATAGAAAAGAGAGGACCACATTCAATAATGTGACCTAGTTTGCATTTCAAGATCAATAGGAATGTAGGAAGACTAGGGAATTATATGTATGGAGTAAAGTATTGCTGTAATAAACTACAAAAAGTAGATTAAAATTTTTTTATTAAATATGGTATGTTCTTGAATCTAAGATAATACTTGTAAGATATACTATTGGTTTACAACAGCTTTCGAGAGTTTCTTTTTAGGGGAAAAATGCTGTAATAAGTGTGCGTGTGGATTATAAGACCCAGTCTAATTGTGGGAGGGAAACAAGTAAGAGACTTAGGATCAAAGAAATACAATGAGGGCTTTTTAGGAATTCTTAACTGCTCTTTATCCTGTATACATAACTTTGTAGTTGAAAAGCAAAATTCATATGTAATAAGTAAATGTATCATGCAGTCTGCATGTGTTTATTTAAATGTGTATATAATTTAAATTCTATTTTTATAATTAAAGTTAATTGTTTCACATGCTTATATATTTTATTTCATGCCATTTGCAGGTAATGATAAAGCTAACTGATAGTGTTTAAGTTAGATTTATATCTTTGAATCCTATGGAATTGAGTATTTTATGTTCTGAGTTTTTCTTTTGAGTTAAACTCACTGGGCTATTGGGGCGCCTGGGTGGCTCAGTCGGTTGGGCGTCTGCCTTCGGCTCAGGTCATGATCCCAGGGTCCTGGGATTGAGCCCCACATCAGGCTTCCTGTTCAGCGGGGAGCCTGCTTCTCCCCTCTTCCTCCTGCTAGTGCTCTCTCTCTCTTGCTATCTCATATAAATAAAACCTTTAAAAAAAAAAAAAAACTCACTGGACTATGACTCCAGTTGAAGTGCTGAACAGCTTTATAGGAAACAATAAATCTCTCCAGCAGTCTTTTAAGAAAAAATGTTGACATTGCATGAATTTGTTTAGCATTTAAAATCATAGCTACCATTTGCTGAGTGTTTACTATGCTACTGTATGCCAAGTACAGTGCTGGATACTCTAGATACATTATCTCTGCTCCTCTCAGAGAATCACCTGCAAGGTAGGTCTTATATACAGGAATATACTTATTCCAATTCAGAGTAACAACAACATAGCAATTGAGCATAAGTTTATTTTAGAAAGAAAAATGAGAATGGCTGTTATTTTTTCTGTCCTCTAGGCGTTCAGCCTATTAAAAACCTGTAGTAAACATCTTTGGAGGTATCTTTTAAAAAGCTGATGCTCACTTTCTTACCTACCATCCTCCCTGCAGCCATGGGATCCTGATAGCCACTTTATACAGTAAGATTTTTTTTCTACTGGTTCCTGTTGATTCAGCTGAGAGTCTCCTAAGCCAAGCTGGGCCAATCAGGAGTTTCCTCGCTCCTTCCCTGGGAATTTTAGAATTGAGATGGAGTTTTTCTGTAGGGTTGGAACATGAGGACAATTTCTGCTTTCCCTGTGGGCCAACTAGCAGTTAACCCTTCTGTTGAGCAAGAAAAGTAGAACCTATGCGTTAAGCAGAACTGAGATGGAGAGGAAACCCCGTGGGTTCCTAGAGATTTTCTAGTTTCCATTCCCGTCCTTTCTAAAGCTGTGTTTTTACCCTTGGGTTCTTTGTATAAGATATATCCAATTCTATAATTCCACTGTAAAATTTATACTAGCTGTAGTTTTTCTGTTATTTGCACCAAAAATAGTCCTGATACACTGTCATTCCATTTTTGTTTTCATTTAGCTTTCATGCTTTCTAGCTATTTTCACAAGAAGGAAGGGCAGAGAGCAAACAAGGACAATGTCCTGGAGTTTTAAGTATTGTCAAGTCTAATCCACAATAAAGAGGCTTTTAAAAACTTCAGAGCAAGAACAGTAGGAATGTGCCTACTGTCTGTTGGTGTAAAGTTGACAGTAAGACCATAGAGTTGTCCAATTTCATGCACAATGGTAGTTAACACTATTAAGAAGCAGAATACTTAAACGGAACAAGGTAGAAAAGCTTGGAAAAGAAGGAGTTAAATCCTGAGGCTGTGGTAAGGGAGAACTATAAATGTTTGATCTCCGGGTCCAAAGTCCCAAATCCAATTGCTGTTATGAAACTGCAAATTACAATTTTTGAGGCATTCTAAAGAAGAAAATGATCAAATGAACTGAGTATTTGAAGTGGGAAAAAGGTGGATTCTGGAAACCACTTGAGTATGATGTTCCTGACATGATTCTACTTGTGTGCACTTAGAAGTGATATTCCTTAGACCTACTCCTTTTCCTTGGAAGGGGACTTGATAGCCCAGAGGACTACTACAGTTCTGGTGTATCTGGATTTCAGAGTACTTGCGGAAGCCTACATGGTATGCCTGTGGATTAAATGGAGAAATGTGGCTGGTTGATCTGCTGTGGAGCAGTGGAGCGAAGACTGCCTGGCAGGAGTCCCATGATGGCGCGGACATAGCTCAGTCCTTAGTTCCAGACTTGCTCAGAAGCTGAGGCACAGCTTAAGGCTGCTAACAGCTGAAGGCAGTCAACTAACCACATCCCTGTTTACAGAGACACCACAGAGGTTTCAAGACCAAAAAACTGCCAGAAACCCAAAACAAAGCAGAGATGACAGGCAGATGACAAAATAATTTTAGAAGCTAAAAAGCAAATGGGCAATTAGCAAGTAACTTAGTAAACCAGAGAAGAATGAAAGCTAAGTGCACACAGGTGGTATGGGAGGCAGCCAGAAGCAAGCTGATGCGAGCCTGAGAGGCTCCTGCATGAGAGACAATGGGTATCTACGGGCAGGTCAGGTGGAGCCGATGAAAGTCTGCTAAGAAGCAGCGAGACCCTCCTAGTTACCCTCTTCATCTAGAGCGCGTTACCACTTCACCCCCTCCCCTCCAGAACACCGGTGGGTCATCTGGAGCGGCCTTACCAGGATCTCTGGATTCAGGAATACCAGGCGGAGCTGAAGGTGGAGTGTTAGGTTGAAAGCAGAGGATTAAGTGAAAGTCTGCACACTGAACAGTGATCTTGGCCTCCTATTTAACTCCCAGAACATGAGCAGCCAAGTTATATCCTCCAAGCAGGGGATTAGAGGGTTCCTTTCTGAGGAAAACCCGGCCCAAGAGAAGAGACCTATAGAGACTGATAGCTGGAGGTCTCCAGGGGAACAACTTGGTCCTGGCCCAGGGGAGCCTGCCAATGGGCAAACCCGTCCCACCCCACCGAGCCCCAGTCAGCGTGTGGCACCTTGCCATTCAAGGGGGCGAACAGCTCGGGAGCAGTAAGCATTTGAGGAAAGCCTCATTAGTGACAGAGATTCTGATGAGCAAACAGGTGGGGGAGAGGGGGAACTCAAAACAGAAATAATGCAGGAAATAGAGAAATAAAAAAAATTGTAATTGATATCCCCAGATGAGAAAATATTGTCTACATGGAAAGAGGCATATATAAAAAGAAATATTCAAAAATTAAGAGCTTCATGACATCAAAAGTGTAACTGCTGAAATTAATCCAATGGAAAGGTTGGGAAAATTGAAGTTTAGAAAGAAAAAAATGGAAAATTTAAGACATGAAGAAATTTCAGATGAGGAAATCAAAGGCTACAAAACAGCCTAAATGAGAAGTTCTTTGTGGCAGTTACCAGAGCTTATAAATTTCAAGGTGCTTGATTGCTTGGTTATAATTCCAGTAGGAGGAACAAAACGTCTGCAATGATTTTTACAGTTTTTATTTTTTTTAAGTAGGCTCTATGCCCAATGTGGGGCTCCAACACAACCCCAAGATCAAGAGTTTCATGCTCTATCAACTGAGCCAGCCAGCGCCCCCTGCAATGATTTTTTTTAATATGCTGTAGATGGCAGTATATTTCTATAAACTCAGAAGTACACTTCATCATTTCATTGTCTTAATACAGTTATGCCAGCTTTTAACATTTTCCTCCAAAAAGCTTAAATTTTTTATTTGGATAGAAAAACGTCAGTATCCTCTATGTTTTGGCAATCACATCCAAAACTCTGTCCCTTTGCATGCTGTCAGCATGGAAAGGACAGCTGGAGCCCCAAGGTGTGTTTCTCATTGCCCATTTTTCTCCCTTGACCAAAAAAAAGTGTCTGGAAGATATCAGGGTAACCTCTTCATGCTAAAAGTTTCTAACGATACCTGAAGTTCGTACCCGACATTTACCCTGTTGCAGGCTCAAAGTAAGCAACCTTAGAATTAGAATTAGCAGGACCGCTTGACATTTTAGGAAAGAAAGTCAGGTGTTTATGTTCAGCAAAAGGAGTTCAAACATGAAGGGAGGAAAGTCAAGAAACAGGTTCCTCTTGCTTAGTGACCCACAGCTGCCTACAACAGGACAGGTGGAAGTCAGTTCTGATGCCACAGGTTCTAGGATGTCAGATCCCTCCTTCTCAAGCTCGTATTGTAACAAAAGAAGTAGTGTTTCTCATCGAAGCTTACCTACATACCTATAGACTGATGAAAGAAGTATTGTAATAACTTGCTTTACAGAATTAGGTCTATCTTGTTTGGACAGAGACGCGGGGTAAGTTTATGGTGTGAGTGAGGCTGATACGCCTCTTCTCCATCTCAGGTGCTTCTGTTTGCTGACCAAAGGGAGAGAAAGGTAGTGGCTCTGACCACAAGAGGGAGGATGCTATTCACAGAACCCTCCAGCCGCATGAAAGCTTGCAGTTGGGAGCATCGAGATCACCTCCTCATCAGGCCGGGGGAGGCTGCAAAGCCGAGAGAGAGCCGCAGTGAGCCCTACAAAGAGGGCCCTTTGATCTGAGGGTCACAGCATAGAAGAGGCTGGAAAGCACTACCTCTGAGTCACTCTCCAGGCGTAGATTAAAGCCAGCTTTGGGGTGAGTCAAGAACAGTTCACATTGACTCTATTTCCAGGAGATGACCAAAACCTAAAAGTATCCTGATCACTTCAGCGGTGTTAAATAACAGGATGGGTTTTTGTCTCTTCTTTTCCCTTCCTCTCCCCGCTGTTTTTCTAGAGGGTCTCTAGTAAGCCTAAGAGACCAGGTTAGCTTGTAACTGAGTTGAAGGTTTGCTGGGTCAGTCACTATTGACAACGTAAAGGTCTGTTTGTCTTGTAGGTGATTCATGTGAAAAGACCTCAAGTTTGCCTCCTAGCATGCATAAGACTTGTAGGATCTGATTTAACCCTCTCAGGTGAAAAGGAGTTCTGTGCGTGCCTCTCTGCATGGAGTCAGAATCACTGGATTGTAGGGCACCAGCACCTTAACAGGTGAACCAAGCTGCTCTCCCAGATGGTTTTACCAATTACGCGAGGATACCTGTTTCCCTGTGCCCCATTCAAACGTTTTTCCCCAGTTGGGAGGTGGAGAATGGTTGGTGCATTTGTATACTGGTAACATTGAAACCTATTTTCTCACATGCTTATAGATCTTTTGGAGTTTTTCCTTCTTTGAATTGCTTTTGTTATATCCTTTGCCCATATTAAAAGATACTGGGTCCTATTATTGAATTGTAGGCACTCTATTTAATCTGGAATTAAGTCTTTGTCGCTTTTTTCACTTTATTTTATGGTGTCTTTTTGTAAAACTCAATTTTCTTTTCTTTCTTGGCCAATATGAAACTTCAACAAAGTTTAGGAAAGTAAGGAGGATCCTGAAAAAGCCGGCGGAGTTCTTAGGAAGATCCCAGGAGAAGGCAGACTGTCTGCATCCCCATTGGGGACAAAGAGTAGGACCTTTGAGACAGTCTGGGTGGGAAAGCTAACAAGTCCTGGGAGCAGAGAAGCAGCTGAAGAAGTATGGCTGTACTTCCCATACACTCAGAGGCAGAGGTGGATTTTGAAGGGTTTACAAGGCTCTCCTTTGAGACGCTGTAAGAACTGAGAATACGGAGAGGCTACCTGGGCCGTGTGCTTGACTGCCTAAGGGCTTCATAGCAAATTTTTGACTTTGCCGCACAACGCAAGCGATTCTAGTTTCATCACAAAGCCAGAAGTCTTCTGCAGGAGAGTCAAGGAGTTACGTGTTGTTCAAGGCAGTGGAGGTTGGCAGGGGTCAAGTAAGTACTGGCAGCTGTGGGTCAACTTGAGGTCTCTCGAGAGGCAAGAGAAACTCCTGAGATTGTTCATTTAAAAAAAAAATGTATTATTTCAGGGGTGCCTGGCTGGCTCAATTGGTAGAGCATGCAGCTCAGTCTCGGGGTTGTGAGTTCGAGCACCACACTGGGTGTAGAGATTGCTTAAAAGTAAAATCTTTAAAAATTACATGTATATTATTTCAGATACGGAGCTTCGATCGTTAGTGCTTCTTGTGTCCTGTTTATGTAATCTTTGCTTACCTCCAAATCGAATTGGTGTTCTCCTATGTGTTTTGGTTTTTAATTCAATTCATTAGAACCAAAAAAAAACCCAAAACAGTTTTACTAATTTTGCCCGCTGTCCACCTACTGCCTCTGGCAACCACAAATCTGTTCTCTAGGAGTCTGTTTCTTTGTTCTGTTTTTTAGATTCCATGTGTAAGAGAAATCATATAGTGCTTATCTTTTTCTGACTTATTTCACTTAGCATAATGCCATCAAGGTCTTGTTCTTTTTGATGGCTGAATGTTATTCCTGTGTGTGTATATGTGTGTGCGTACACACACACACATACACATATCGTATATCACATTGTCTTTATCCATGTATTGATGGACACTTAGGTTGTTTCCATATCTTGGCTAGTGTAAATAATGCCTCAATAAATATAGGGGTGTATATGTTTTCAAATTAGTGTTTTTGTTTTCTTTAGGTAAATACGCAGAAGTGGAATTGCTGGATCATATGGTAGGTCTATTTTTAATTTTTTTGAGAAACCTCCATACTATTTTCCATAGTGGCTGTACCAGTTTGCATTCCCACCAACAGTGCATAAGGGTTCCCCTTTCTCCACATCCTTGCCAACACTCATTTCTTTTTTATTCCAGTCATCTGACAGGTGTGATAGCCCATGGCGGTTTTGATTTACATTTCCCTGATGATTAGTGGGATGTTGAGCATTTTTTCATTTACCTGTTGGCAACCTACCTGTCTGTCTTCTTTGGAAAAATGTCTATGAAGAGCTTCTGCCCATTTTTAATGGAATTTTTTTTGCTTTTGTTTTTTTACTATTGAGTTCTCAGTTCTTTTTATATTTTGGATATCAACCCCTTCTCAGATATATGATTTGCAAACATTCTGTAGGTCACCTTTTCATTCTGTTGGTTTCTTTTGCTGTACAGAAGCTTTTTTTGTTTTTTCTTCTTTTTGAGAGAGTGTGCAAGCAGGGGGGAGGGGAGGGGCAGAGGGAGAGGAGAGAGAGAATCTTAAGCAGACTCCCTGCTGAGCACGGAGCCTGACACAGGGCTCAATGCCCAGAACCTGAGATCATGACCAGAGCTGAAATCAAGAGTCTGACGCTTAACCGACTGAGCCACCCAGGCGCCCCTGTACAGAAGATTTTTAGTTTGATGTAGTCCCACTTGTTTACTTGTGCTTTCGTTGCCTTTGCTTTTTTTTAAATTTTTTTTTAAAGATTTTATTTATTTATTTGAGATAGGAGAGAATGAGAGATAGAGAGCACGAGAGGGAAGAGAGTCAGAGGGAGAAACAGACTCCCTGCCGAGCAGGGAGCCCAATGCGGGACTCGATCCTGGGACTCCAGGATCATGACCTGAGCCGAAAGCAGTCGCTTAACCAACTGAGCCACCCAGGCGCCCTTTTTAAAATTTTTTTATTGTTATGTTAATCACCATACATTACATCATTAGTTTTTGATGTAGTGTTCCATGATTCATTGTTTGTGCATAACACCCAGTGCTCCACGCAGAATGTGCCCTCTTTAATACCCATCACCAGGCTAACCCATCCCCCCACCCCTCTCCCCTCTAGAACCCTCAGTTTGTTTTTCAGAGTCCATTGTCTCTCATGGTTTGTCTCCCCCTCTGACTTACTCCCCTTCATTCTTACCCTCCTGCTATCTTCTTCTTTTTCTTTTTTCTTAACATATGTTGCATTATTTGTTTCAGAAGTACAGATCTGTGATTCAACAGTCTTACACAATTCACAGTGCTCACCATAGCACATACCCTCCCCAATGTCCATCACCCAGCCACCCCATCCCTCCCACCCCCCACCACTCCAGCTACCCTCAGTTTGTTCCTGAGATTAAGAATTCCTCATATCAGTGAGGTCATATGATACATGTCTTTCTCTGATTGACTTATTTCACTCAGCATAACACCCTCCAGTTCCATCCACGTAATTGCAAATGGCAAGATCTCCTTCCTTTTGATGGCTGCATAATATTCCATTGTGTATATATACCACCTCTTTATCCATTCATCTGTCGATGGGCATCTTGGCTCTTTCCACAGTTTGGCTATTGTGGACATTGCTGCTATAAACATTGGGGTACACGTACCCCTTCGGGTCCCTACATTTGTATCTTTGTGGTAAATACCCAGTAGTGCAATTGCTGGATCGAACGGTAGCTCTAATTTCAACTGTTTGAGGAACCTCCATACTGTTTTCCAGAGTGGTTGCACCAGCTTGCATTCCCACCAACAGTGTAGGAGGGTTCCCCTTTCTCCACATCCCCGCCAACATCTGTCGTTCCCTGACTTGTTAATTTTAGCCATTCTGACGGGTGTGAGGTGGTATCTCATTGAGGTTTTGATTTGGATTTCCCTGATGCCGAGCGATGTTGAGCACTTTTTCATGTGCCTGTTTGTTGCCTTTGCTTTTAGTGTCAGATTAAAAAAAAATCATCACCAGAGACTGATGTCAAGGAACTTACCCCCCATGTTTTCTTCTAGAAGTTTTATGGTTTCAGGTCTTACATTCCCGTCTTTAAATCCTATTAAGTCAATTTTTGTGTGTGGTGTAAAGTCCAGTTTCATTCTTTTGCATGTGGCCATTTAATTTTCCCTGCACTAGTTATTGAAGAGACTGTGTTTTCCCCATTGTACATTCTTGTCACTTCTCTTGTAAAATAATTAACCATATAGGTGCATGGATTCTGTATTCTGTTCCATTGATCTATATGTCTGTTTTTATGGCAACACCATACTATTTTAATTACTCTAGCTTTGTAATCTAGTTTGAAATCAGGGAGCATGATGCCTGTTTGTCGCTTCTTTTTCACTTTATTTTATGGTGTCTTTGTTCTTCTTTCTCAAGATTCTTTTGGCTATTTGAGGTCTTTTGTGGTTCCATGCAAATTTTAGGATTGTATGTCTATTTCTGTGAAAAATGACATTGGAATATTTTGAGAGGGATTGCACTGGGTCCATAGATTGCTTTGTGTACTATACATTTTAACAGTATTAATTCTTCTAATCTGTGGACATGGAATATCTTTCTATTTATTTGTGCCCTCTTCAATTTCTTTCATCAGCATCTTATGGTTTTTAGTATACAGGTCCTTCACCTCCTTGGTTAAGTTTATTCCTAAGTATTTTATTCTTTTTAATGCACTTGTAAATGGGATCATTTTCTTTTTTTTATTTTTTTTTAAGATTTTATTTATTTATTTGACAGAGAGATAGCACAAGTAGGCAGAGTGGCAGGCAGAGGGTGAGGGAGAAGCAGGCTCCCCGCTGAGCAGGGAGCTGGACGTGGGGCTTGATCCCAGGACCCCAGGATCATGACCTGAGCCGAAGGCAGCTGCCCAACCGACTGAGCCCCCCAGGCACACCATGGGATCATTGTCTTAATTTCTCTTCTTGATATTTATAGATTAATTTTTTTATCCAACTTTACTGAATTTGTTCATTAGTTCTAGCAGATTTCTAGTGGAATCTTTAGAGTTTCTACATATAATAACATGTCATCTGCAAATAGTGAGTTTTACCCCTTCCTTTTCAATTTGGATGCCTTTTATTCCTTGCCTAATTGCTCTGGCTAGAACTTCTAATAATATGTTGATTAAAAGTGGCAAGAATAGATATTTAAGATATCTTAAATTAAGGAAAAGCTTTCAGCTTTTCACTGTTCAGTATGTTAGTTGTGGACTTGTCATATGTGGCCTTTATTATGTTGAGATGCATTCCTTCTATACCCTCTTTTTTGAGAGTTTTTAAAATCATAATTGAAAGTTGAATTTTCTCAAATTTTTTTTCTGCACGTATTGAGATGATCATAAGATTTTTATCCTTAATTTCTTAATGTGGTGTATCACACTGACTTATTTGCTGTTATTGAACCATCCTTGCATCCCTGGAATGAATTCCACTTAATCATGGAGTGTGATCTTTTTAATGTATTGTTGAATTCAGTTTGCTAATATTTTGTTGAGGATTTTTGCATCTTTGTTCAGCAGGGATACTGGCTTGTAATTTTCTGGTGGCATCCTTGTCTGGTTTTGGTATCAGAGTAATGCTGGCGCTACAAAATGAGTTTGGAAGAGTTCCTTCCTCTTCTGTTTTTTTGGAAGAGTTTAAGAAGGATTAGTATTAATTTCTTGAATGTTTGGTAGAATTCACCAGTGATACCATCTGATCCTGGACTTGTTTGTTGAAAGGCATTCAATTGCTGATTCAATCTCCTTACTAGTATTGGTCTACTCAGATTTTTGTTTCTTTATGATTTAGGCTTGGTAGGTTATATGTTGGAATTTATTCATTTCTTCTAGTTTGTCTAATTTTTGGCATATAATTGTTCATAGTAGCTTCCTAGGATCCTGTGTATTTGTGGTATCAGCTCCTCTTTCATTTCTGAAATTATTTTTTTAAGTCTTTATCTTTTCAAAGAACCAGCTCTTTCATTGATCTTTTACATTGGTCCTTTTTAAAATCTGTTTCATTTATTTTTGCTCTGATCTTTGTTATATTTTCTTCCTTCTATGAACTTTGGGTTTGGTTTGTTCTCCTTTTTCTAGCTTTTTAAAAATTAATTAAAATATTTTTTATTATGTTCACTTAGCCAACATATAGTACATCATTAGTTTCTGATGTAGTGTTCAACAGTTCATTGGTTGTGTATAACACCCAGGGCTCATCACCACACGTGCCCTCCTTAATACCCATCACCTGGTTATCCCATCCCCCCAACCCCCTCCCTTCTGTAACCCTCAGTTTGGTTTCCAGAATCCAGAGTCTCTCATGGTTTGTCTCCCTCTCTGATTTCTTCCCATTCAGTTTTCCCTCCCTTCCCCTGTGGTCCTCCACTCTATTCCTTATGTTCCACATATGAGTGAAACCATATGATAATTGTCTTTCTCTGCTTGACTTATTTCACTTAGCATAATCCCCTCCAGTTCTGTCCATGTCAATGCAAATGAGCTAGAAAAAGCTCTTTGAGTTATAATGTTCTTTTGAGATTTTGTTTCATGAGGTAAGCATTTGTTGTGAACTTCCTTTTTAGAACTGCTTTCGCTGCATCCCATAAATTTTGGTGTGTTATATTCATTTTTCTCAAGGTATTTTATTTCTATTGATTTCTATGTTGACTCATTGGTTATTCTATAACATGTTGACTAACCTCCACATATTTGTGAATTTTCCAGTTTCCTTCTTGTAATGACTTCTAGTGTCATACTATTTGGTGGAAAAGCTGCTTGATATGGTATTAATCCTCTTAAGTAAATTAAGACCTGTTTTGTGGTCTATTCTGGAGAATGTTCCATGTGCACTTTAGAAAAATGTGTATTCTTTTTTTTTTTGGATGGAATGTTCTGTAAATATCAAGTTCATTTCATCTAATGTGTCATTTGAGGCCAATATTTACTGACTGATTATCTGATATCCATTGATGTTAGTGGGATATTAAAATCCCCTACTATTATTGTACTGTTGTCCATTCCTTTT